CCTCTAAATGTTTAGCAGTCGTAACCAGTGGCGGGGCAACATATTTTATGTTGACTACCTTATATATAAGTCTCTAAATGGTATTATGATCTTTAGTTATAATCAAAGTCTATTCAAATTAAAAACACCAACAACACGTCCAAAACTAAAACAGCACAACTAAACTCAAACTCAAGAACGAACACTTGCATATAAATAGCAGGTGTTACGTGATAGTACGCCACTGGAAATCCAAACCCTGTCAGCTGTTGAGTGTAGGAGCGCGTTTGCGTCGGGCTGGCGAATATTGGCGCCTTGTTCAAATAAGATCATAACCGGTGTCTGACCGGGTCTTGAACGATGCCAGAATCGTTACATTGCTAGCATACGGTACGCTCCCTCCGGTCTCTTCTACCTCCGTGATAATCATCCATTCCATCCATGTTAAATGTCTGTCGTCTGCCGATTTTACAAATGAAATGTTTAAATGCGCTTTTGTTAGAAAGAAAGTGAGTTTTATTGAACGCTTCGTTTTCGTTTCCATTACTTGTTTCAAAATTCTGAATTTTAAACAACGGGTTTAAGAACCAGATCTTTGATGTATTCAAGGAAATTGTGAAATGAAAATTCTGACGTAATTTACGTGATTTGCCGTTCATCGGGTAACTTGTATCATATAAATAAAAATTTAAATATTTAAGCTTCAGTGACGAAATATTTAGTAAGCGTTTTGTTGTTTTGTAATGAAAAAATGTATGTCTATACCTTAGTGGGTTGTACTCATAAGTGCATACACGCTAATCGTTATATAAGAGGTATCGGTTCCTGAATGTCACAGTTACGTGATCACACATGCCACTTTTTATTTATTATTGTTGCATTTTTGTCCTTGGCTGAAGAAATTCCTCCTACAATGCGTGAGAACTTTTTTGTTAAAGATAAATAAATACGTCTTAAAATCGGTTATCTTTTATTTTTAATTTTTTTTTTTAATTTGTAATAGCAAACGAAACAGTTCTAGAGACCGCAATATTTGGAGCTTATCGGATACCTACATACCGTCTTATCAAAATGGACATAATTATTTCTAGTAATGTCTAAAGCGTATCACACGTAGTGTTAGCAATTGCAAAAAATATTTGAAGAGTTTTCGTATGCGACTGTTAAACTGCATGTTTTTAAACTCGGCAGACTCAACTCAGCTTTTTTTTTTGTTATGGAAAGCGGTCTCCATAGTTTTACTTCTCAATCGGTTTTACTGTCCTAAGGCTGTTGTTACGCTGAAATCGACAATTGACTGGTCTTCCATAAGGATCGATGGTAAAATAACGGCTTGCAGGGCTTGCGGAAAAACTAATTGCTCTTTCATTATGCATTGTTTCTTGAGACTTTTTCATGATTTGGAAAGAAATAAATTGTTCAAGATATACAGCCAAGTTGTACGGTAGCATACAATAAAATCATATTCAACTATTATATGAATGTTTTCTTTTAGAGGTGTACACGCAGCTTACTATTTCACCAATACGCTGTATACTTGAAAATACAGTACGATCACATACTAATATTTTTTTGCATAATTAGGATTATATTTGTTATTAGTATTAGTTGCGTGCAGAATTCCCGTGAAAGTACAAATTTTGTCCCAGAATTATATTCAGTCAAAATACTGTAGATCATTTTACTTCGTTTTTTCTTTTCCTCCGTATAAACTTTGTTTGATCCTTCTTTCAACATTTTAAAACACACAAAAAATTTCGTGAAACAGGAAAGTAATTACAAAAAAAAAGTAACAACGTTTGATTTGTATACAATAAAATTTTATGATGGTTTGAGCCAGTTCACAGCGGTTCATACCCACCATAAATTGCAGTTTTAAAACCGCGCAGGTAGAAGACCAGTAATCCGAGCGGTTCTTAGCTACCCTTCTTCTGGTTGAACAAAGGCGACGTGTGCCAAGCCGGTGGGATACTCAATGGCTGAACAGCTTAGCCAACCCCTCATAATAATATTGTAAAATTTTATTGTGAACAAATGAAATGTTGTTACTATAATTGTTGACTTAGCCAGGACGGCGTACCATTACGCCATTGTAGTTATGGAGCTTAAGTAACAACGGCTTTAAGGAAAGAGTCACCTGCTCTGTAACCAGATGCAAAATTAATCTGTAGTTTTTCAAACAATAGACTCTAGTTTTATGTATCTACACACGATTTTTTTCTGGCAAAAAGAATAACTAAAATTTATATAGTAGTTTTTTTAAATATTTAAACATATTGCAATTGTACATGAGTAACTTTAAACATATATTTTATGTTTATAGTATTGTTTAAAAGACCGAAAAAGCTAACATTGTTATTTTTAAGAGGACATTAAAAATGTGAACTCTGCTCGTAGAGAAAAAGTTGATTAATGTTATACCAACATTAAGTTTTAAACAATTCTAAAAAAATACAAACGAAAAAACTTTGCAAACAACCTATTCAAAGTGATTTTTACAAAAAAAAAGTCAATTATTATAATGTAACAGTAAGCTGACAGCAAACACTCGTATTTAGAATATTATTTTCTTTTGATTTTTTGTCCGGTAATTTCTGAGATGTAGTTCATTAAATTATAATTTTTTATTATTTTTCCGGAGAAGGGTATTTAAAGTCCGACAAAAACGAAATATATTGAGTTCGCGTTTGGGTCAAGTTCGCGAAAGTATCTGTTTGTAATAATTATAGTTTAAAATATAACGACCTGTAATTGAGTTTTATTATGTCTAAATTACTTCCTTTGGCAAGGTTGATAAATTGTAAGAGGAAGAAAACAATTTAGTAGAAAAGCCGACACCGTTTTCGTTCAGCGACTAATAAAAGATCGTTTGTTTTGATTTGCCTATCACTGTGTTATTGATGATGCTCCCCACAAATATTCTATTTTTACTACCAAATCCAGTTATTTTTAAACTTGTTTACGAGATCAAGGTCATGTAATCTTATCTAAATTGCTTCGGTAATTTGTAATTTGCATAATCGTAATATCTACACTTGAGGAATTTCAACTCATCCATAAACACAACTTTTTCAACTTCATCTAGAAAATGGGTTTTGGTCTAAGTGTATTTTTTGTTTATGGAACAGTCGTGATTGCGTGTTGCGAACGATGTGGTTACAGCAACCAATCGAAGCCTATCTGTTATTAAAAGATATTTTACATTCGGTTAGTGAAAGCACAATGAGAAATTAGCCTTCATTTCTCGTATTACACGCAAATCTAATGATTTCATACTTTCTTTTGCGGCGACGCGTTCAAATTTTTTTACGTTTGATTTACATAGAATTAAAATTCCGAAATTAAAATTTGACGGTCATTTATACCTACTAGTAATGAATAATCATCTGGTTCGAGTAAGAACTTTGTGTACTATCACTTTCGGGTGTTTAATTAATTCTCTTAAATAAAGAAATTATAATGTATGAGTTAATTATATTTGCATGACTTTTTCGGGAATGTTTTTATTTAGGAAAGGCGAAAGTGATTCTTCATGTATATGTTTATTTGTCGTCTTTTCATGTGAAACATGAAAGTATGAGAAATCACATGTTCTTAAATAATAAGGAACAATTGGAGCGGTGATCACGCATGCAAAGTATCAAAAAAAATGTCACTTTTTTAAATAATAATTAAAAACGTACGTTTAACATATGATGTAATTTTGTAACAAATAGAAATACCTAAAGGCTGTCTCAGCATCAAAATACTACAAAGGCTTTATTTTACCTCCAAAATCATATCTGAAGGCAACTCCTTAGGTGATGGTATCTGTTCTATTTATTTAAATTAGTGTTATATAATTGTTGTAACATAATTGTACTTGATAAAACGGGTCAAAGTAAATTCTCAAAATTGTTTGTTTTTTCGAAATTTTGGCTGAAAAACTGAATTTTAATTTCGAATTATTTTATTTTATACGTATGATTTTGTATATATTTATTTATGTTAACATTAGTTATTAGTACGCCAGCTTAAAAATTGAAAGAATAATATTCTTTGTTAAAACTGCTGTTATTAAATTTGTTCTTATTTCAAATATTTTTATTTAAATAATTTAATTAAATAACGTGCCATGCTATCATCACACTTGTGCTTCAAATACGATATCTAATAATACATAGGTATTATAAGAATAACAATTATGGTATCCAAACCTAAGGTACAACATAGATAAGTAAAGACAAGGCCGTTAACAAGAAATAAAAATAAAAATAGTACTTTTTTATTATTTCACAGCCTATACAAAAACCGTATAGGTACAGGAAAACTGTTTTTTACAACAATACGTAAATTCTCATTATAGGGAGCTTTATACTCAGTGTTATTACTGTTTAATAATTTTTAAAGTAAACCATATGTATGAAGCTGAACGATATTTTAAGTAATGCTTATTACGTTATTAAAAATAAAGAAAATATCGAAATATGTAGGTACCTACTGAATATGGCCAAAACTGAAACCCAATATTATAAGAAAGTAGGGCACAAGTAACATTCAATAATTTTTGTGTTGTTTTTTATTAAGTTTTTGAGAAAAATAAGTACCGCCAATTCGTAGCACAATTATTTAAACTCTAATAGTGAAAACGTACTCTTTTTAAATAATAATGTCTGCAAGAGTAATACTGTACACTTTTGTGACTACAATTTATTATTGAAAAAGCCAAACGGTTAATGTTTTCTGTTTTGGCAACAAAAAAATCCTTTGAAACTGCTTGAAAATGTCTACTATGTACTTACAAGAAAAAATGTGCTGTGTAGACAAAACTATAGTTAACATTGATTAGGCGGTGATAGGCATCAACTAAAAAAATCACTTCCACTTTAACCTATTTTTTGTTTTTGTCGAATCCGGGCTTTTACTTGTTGTGAAAAAGGAAACAAAAATACTGCAAACAAAGTAAATTCTTTCTACTTCGTTAATTTCGCACCCGCCAATTCGAAAGCTCGAATTCTTTTTATTTGACGAAATAATTTTAGTTGGGCCGTTTCGACCATAATGACCCGACAAAACACAATCCCCTTTCAAGAAAACTACCACGCTTTAATACCCTTGTGGGATATGTGTAACCACACAAACGGTACCGTAAGTTCTTCCTCATTTACCACAACCTTCAAGTTAATTAGACATTTCAGATATCGACAGCTTATAACCCGGTCCTGGATCGCAGCGAGTGCTTAGCTTTAAGAAACTTCAAAGCCGGAGAGCAATTATTTATTTTCTATGGAGGCAGAAGCAATGCGGATCTTTTTGTTCACAACGGGTGGGTTTAATAATTAAACGTCGGTCCCTCTTTAAAAAAAACAATTTCAGATTCGTGTTCGAGGACAACGACTACGATGTTTATTGGATCCGTTTGGGTATCAGTAAATCGGACCCTCTCCAAGAAAAACGAAATATCTTGTTGAATAAATTGTCGATATCGAGCACCACTGACTTTTCCATTAGAAAAGATGCTAAACCGATCGATGGCCAGCTGCTGGCGTTTTTACGGATTTTCAACATGAATGAGGGCAAGTTTATTTAATTTAAATCGTAGCCTAGAAACAATAAATCAGTTTGTTTTAATTGAGATCTTTTACTTAATTAACTCAATTAAGCGGCTTTTTCGTTTAGAACAACTCGATCATTGGATAAGCAGTGTCAAAAGTGGCGACCTGGAGTGTATCGAATGTGCCGTGGAGACCACCGTGGAAAACAAGGCTTGGACTTTTCTACAGGCCCGGCTTAAGCTGCTTTTGGCGACATACAAAACAACGTTAGAAGAAGATGAGAAGTTAATAACGGAGGCTCAGACACCTAATCGGCTTCTCGCTATAAAAATGAGGGCAACGGAGAAACGCATCATCAGAGAAACGCTCAAATATGTGGAGCAGTTTATAAAACACTGAAAATAAATTCGGTTTTTCATATAATATGTCAAAGTTGAATAAATCTTTCTTTTGATAAATAAAGCTATTTATTGTAACTGCAAGGCAAATAAAAAGTTAGTTCGTATACATATGTTTTTGTATTAGGTAACTGCTGCCATCTGTGTGTACAATTTTCATAAAGAACATTCCATTCCTGCTGCCTGCTATCGATTTTCCTGTGGAAGCTCGTAGATGGCGGCAGCACAAACTCTCTTATCTTTATTATTGTACAAGTTTAGCGCCAATTCCACCTGTCTGAACCCAAGTGCGGTGATAGATAAGTGTGAGCTAACAATGAGGTAGTCGATAATTATATTTTTTTACACACGTTTCGAGTAACTCTTTTGTCACTTTTTGCGATTCTGTTATGACAAAAAAAAAATAATGGATAGTGAAAACAGTGCCAATGAGGAATCACTCCAGTCTGTGGCGTCAGAAGAAAGTGATCTTCTGCTGCAATTTCGAAAAAAAGAACTGCTCTTTAAAATTCTAGTCATTGGAGATTTTGGAGTTGGTAAAGTTTTTCTTTTGTTATTATCGCACAGTCCATTACGTGAAAACTGTTTGTTTGTATTTGTATCTTATTAAGACTTTTTTCATTTTTAGGAAAAACTTCCATAATCAGGAGATATGCTGATGGTGAGTGATAAATCGAATCGAGTGAAAAATCACATGATTTTGATGTCATTTTCTCCGTGGTGGCACGTTAACGAATTCCTGTAATAATCGATATAAGCCGCATTCTTTACATACCTCACTTAATCAATATGAAACTGCACGGAGGGTCGAAATTTCGAATTGTTCGCAAAGTAGACTTGTCCAGAAAAAATCAATGGCTCTGATAATTTGGTTTCGACGGATTTGCATATTCAGTGCAATTCATTCTTATCAGTTGTAAAACAAAAAACAGCATACTGCGAAAACATAATTATTTTGTATAGTTTACGGCGATAAAATTATCTATTGTTTGTGTTAAAACTAAAATTATTATCTTTTGTTCAACGACTTGGAGTGTTTTAATTCAGGTCTAGAATGTGCCAGAAAAATGTGTGTACACATTTAATTAAAAGATATTAAGCTTATCTGCTTATCTTTCCATCTAATAATAATCAATTTCTAAACTATGCAGCGGTATTTTATTTTTTGATAACATACGAAAAATGTTTAATATGCGCATCTCATATTAACTCATCACAAAAAAATGTTTGAAGTAGTAAATTAATGTCAGCGATGTTACGGGTTATAAAAGCCTGGTGGTGTTACAGGTACTTTTTCCTCTTCCTATAAAATAACCATTGGAGCCGACTTTGCGATTAAAAGCATATCTTGGGACAAAAATACTCAAATAAATATACAATTATGGGACATCGCGGGACACGAAAGATTCGGATCCTTGACAGGTGTATATTATCGATATGCGTAAGTAAAAAATTCGAAATATTTTCGCATTTATTAAAAATCCTCACACATCGTAGTGTGGCTGCAGCCATCGTTTTCGATTTAACTCGTCCAGAGACCTTTAGATCTGTGGAAAAAGTAAGTTTTAACAAAAACGATATAGAAAAGGCGTAAATCTCTGTTTTCTAGTGGCTACTAGATCTGAGACGTAAGGTGCATCTGCCTGGTAGTCACCCCGTTCCAGTTGTAATTTTAGCAAACAAAGGTGATATTACCATAGCCACACTGCCTAACGAGATTGTGAACTTCTGCGAAAAATATAATATTCTAGCATGGTTCATTACATCAGCCAAAGACAACGTTCATATAGGTAAGCATAGTGAGTAACTAAAGTGTCACTAACTTATATTTATTACAGATGAAGCAATGTTAACGTTAATAAACGCAGCGGTTGATAATCACGAGCGTTTACAGTTTCCTGCCACTGTAGATAACGACGTAGTCAGGTTGCAAAATGATGACACTCAGTTCTATCAAAATGAAAAGAAACACTGCTGTCAAAGATGAACTTAAATAGGTCACTGTTTGAAATTTGTACAATGGATATTTTGTGGTAAAACTATATTTTGTAACAAACATGTACTAACGATGGCAATAACAAAAATAGAAAATTAGATCAGGTTGGATTTTGGCCCAGCTTTTGAGCTGCCGCGAGTGCATTTTCATTGGCAAGCATCTGAAACTCTTGGAACCTCTGGGAAATTCTTTGGTTTACTTTAAGAAATTTTTCTAGACAATTTAGCGCACACCTATCCTGCAATTGATGAACTGAATAAAAGTTGCAACGTTCATTGTAATATTACTTACTTCACTTCCTTTAATATTCCTAGACGTGAAGTCCGAGACGCAATCAGTGAAACATAATTCCGCTAACTTGTTGTATGATATAAGGAAGTCTTTAAACTATGGGAATAAAATTACAGGTTATATCAGAAACGTTATATACCTATTACTTACAGTTTTCATTTGTTCTGCATCCACATTTTCGATACCTGCACCTGGAGGTAGAGTTACGTTCATTTTAAATAATTAAGTTTAACGTTAATACAGTTTTATATTCGAATTAACTCACGTCGAACAATTTTTGAGGTTAAGATTCGTTTCATCCAGTTATTACTACAGGAAATTAAAATTTGTGCCGCCGATAAAACAGGTGACTGTACGCAAGATAATATGAATTAAAACCAAATCCACAACATAATTTATTATTCTACGATGTTATTTCTTCAGTTACTAAAAATTTAAAGAGTTTTAAAACAAACCAAACTTGTTAATAGATAATAAAAGGTAAATCTGTCTTTATCGAGCAAGACTGCAGATATATGTCATTAGATGTCGCCACCACACAAGAAAATTGTTGTGTTAGCTGTCAAAATTTCAGTTAATTTTGCCCGCGTTCTTCGAATGATTTGTGTATTTTCAATATAAAATTTCGCAAATTAAGTGGAAAATGTGTGCAGTGGATTGTGTTGTTTGAAGATATAATACCCTTGTTCCAAAGCTTCAGTGTAATACAAAAACGAAAACATAACCTAAAAGTTTGTTTACGTTTTATAAATGAAAGAAAAACAATACAGGACTAAGCTATCGCCAAATACAAATCCAAATATGCGGGAAGCAGACGCGGTGCAGCATTGTTACCCGCACCAAATCCGTGAAAAAGCAAATGGTTTTTCGTCAAATACATACACCAGTGAACTTCCTTCGGGAAAAAATTTCAATCATCTTCATCCCGTTTACAAATATGTGGATAGTTTTTTAAGTAATCCTGCCATAAATAAACGACCGACGTCTGTGGTTTGTTCGAGTTGTATGAATAATAGAGAGTTTTCGCATGGCAGATACTGCAAAAAGAACTCAATACGTTACATCGGTAGCGATTACGCACCACGAACTTGTGTCGATCCTTCCGGTCGTTCGTATCGAGCTAATTATCAAATTATGGGGAACAACAAACAGAATAATATTCAAAATAATCTGCATAGCAGGAATACTCAATATTGTGCTATAAGAACGCCATCGCCTTGTTTCCACCGCCGACAGAACAATCTAAGTTACACAATAAAAGTAAAATTGGACTCGCCGTCAACGAATCCCCCATGTACTCCCACGCCAGTAGAATCAAATTACTATGTAGACGGATTAAAAAATGAAATTAAACAAAGCAAAGCACAAATATGCCAGTTAATAACAAAACCTTCCGCAAAGAGTGTTGAAACTCTAACACGCGATTTGGCAAGGCCAGTGGATGACCAGTACGTTAGAAAATTGAAAGAAGAGCTGATTTGTAGAAAGACTAAATGTATCAATGAAGCCAAAAATATTATCAGCGAACTACAAAATGAAATCACGGGCTTTAGGCTTAAAACTAAAACTAAAGTTTCTTCATCGTGTTCTGACATTGGTGCTGGTGATCAACCTCCCCCGACGTCAAATATTTGTTTGGATGCTCCTAAAATTGTAGAATGTCGTTCCGGCAGCAAAAAAAACATTGGCGAAAAGAGGGTGCTTTTGTGTAAGAATATTAATTTTTTAGATGCTTTAGAAACAACTCGTTTTTTTTAGCTTGCTCTCCACGAGGAGAACCTCCAAGGTAAGGGCAGTTTTTAAATAAAAATCGCAATGCTACCTTTTAATACGGTAACAATGATGTTTGTCCACATATTAAAGATCCACGAACAACGCAATTTACATTTAAAATACACCGTTCTTTGTTAATTGGCAAAATAGAAGCACAACTTACTTTTGATCCGTTTGCAATAGTGCTGATACTTAGCATTATTAGCACATACACATAGATACCTTGTTTATTTTTACAAGTCAATTGATAATTCATCGCTGTACTCTGGTTAATTATAATAGACTTTGTTGTTCTGGTATACCATTTTTAATCAAATCGAAACCTCGTGCAAATTCGGTGAAACTTCATGAGATACAAATTTAAAATGCACGAACGCGTCAGCGTCGATAACGTGCAGGAATGAGATTTTGATCCTGTGATCAACATAAATCAACAAATGATACATCTTTAAAATGTGAACAGACTAGTTTGTTGAAGTATTAATAAAAGCTATAACGTAATTTTGATTTCTTTGGTATTATGTTCATTCTTTTTTCAACTGACCAAATTACATTTTTTGTTAATTTAACATGTAGCAGCGAAAAACTGTTTCTCAAGAACAGCATTGGGCAACAAATCACAAATGGGTATTGATCTCCGCTACTCACCTTTTTTTTCATTGCTTTCTAATTGAGAAAAAATGTTTTTGTCAATCAAGTCCGAAACGTATAAATATCTCAGAATGATTACATGCTGGGTCGGATTCGTGCATTTTATATATGTGGGTGAAACCGGGTCAGTTGTTCAGTGTGCTGCCAGGTAAGTACGAAAATATTTTTGCAATATTTTGTCGTATGGGAACATGTTTAGAATTCAATCGATACGAAGCTTCGTGCTTGAGAGTTATAATTTCATATTGTTTTTAGCCTGTATGTTGAATTCTCTAAACGTTTCGTATTCATGTGGAAGTTTGTTTATGGTAGAATGCGCTGTGTATATTAAACAGTTTAAAATAAGCCAGTTATTTTTGGCCCAAACAGTCTGTTTTACATCGTCGATTATTATATTGCAATAAATAAACGCGAAAACTTGCGAATAAAATGATCCAAGCGGAGTCAAGTATTTGATTTTCGTGAGTAGGATTTTCTGACAATGTCGAATTAAGAGAATACCTCGTATACCTTCAAATCCTGGATCTGACAGGATTGTTGGGTGTATTATTTAATAATTATTATTCAGAGTTATTTTTGGTTCCGTGAATGAAATGAATCGATTTTGTTGGAGGCAAATGCTAATTTTAAAGCAGGTAACAAGGAAAAAAGATATGGTATTATTGATTTTATAGCCAAAAAAATTATCAATCAAGTCAATGTATGAATTAAGTGATTAAATTGGATAAAACTTTTAGCTCAAACATTTCGCATGTTCATTGTTCGATCGTTCGATAGTCAATGCGTAATGTATCAAATTGATTACATGTATTGTGTTTTCCCATTCTTTCAAATCCACTCTCAATGACGTCTATTTTTGTTATCTCACTATCACATTATTTGCTTATCGCACTTTGTACGAAACATTGTCTTATTTGATTATATTTTTAAATATGAACCATAATTAATATTTTCCACTTGAGACCAACTTTAATTTATCACATTGTAGGCTTTATCAACTGTTTTGAAGAGCCTTAATTCCGATATGACGATATGGCTAATCAAATAACACTCCTGTAGATTTGAGATAATTCTTAATATTGTTTACTTTTTGTGCAATTGTGAACACAAAAAATTATTAGCGTTTTACCATTTACACGATATTCCTAAAATATGCCTAAAACCTCACAACAATCAGATCTGTAATTTAGGAGATTATTCATTTAATAAACTCGCCAGCAAACGACAGACAAATTGAAATAGGAGAGCCACTTTTTCATACTCTTGCGGTTATGAAACGTCGAGAAAACATAAAATTAGGTGCCCCCGAAGTGAATCCTGTCACAATCCCTCCTAACTTGGCGTACGCTCAGAGAGTAAAAATAATCTCTTTGGATAATATTTGTTTAAGAAAAATTGCCTTTTTAAAGATGATTCGTTTTGTTATGAACCACGTCAAAAATGAATTTTCGGTCGATAGTAAGGAAATTCATTTTTAACATGGTAATTTGTGGGCAAGTGATGATTTGTGTTTAATTAATTAAAGAACAAAAGTTTTGATAGTAAATTAGTACAGAGCAAACAAAATTATTTTATTGTTAATCTGCTGTTATACGCTACGTTATTCCATTATTATATTTTGAGCAATGATTTTAAGTAGAATTCATGTCATCATATAATGGCATATACCGGGTACATTTATCGCCAACAGACATGAAACAGACAGACACAAACACGAAACCTGCATTTTAACATTTACGAAGTGTGAAATGCCCAACAAACATGAATTGGATTCTAATAGCTTTCGTTTCATACTTTTAAAAACAGTATGTCCATAGGAAATTGGTACCTTAATAATATTTTTTATTCCAGGGTTATTTTACATAAAATATTCTGGTAGTAAATACCACGATTGGTTAGAAAATATGTTGTTTTTAAACACGTTCTGCAATTGTACATGCATTTATAAATAAACCAGATAGTTTCTATAATTAACAGTGCATACATATCGGAAGGCAAAATTGTCTAATGTGGCATAAATTCAGAGTGTTGTTCCCGAATCATAAATGGTACCTCAAGAGATTTTATGAATAATTTAGAACTGATACTCAACGAAAATTTGGCATTATTTGCAAATGAAAATAGACGTAACAGACACTCGCAATTAATTATTCATTTTTCTCAAATTAAGTTAAATAAAAAAGATCCTCTGCTGCTGACAGTTTTGAAACTACACTCTGATAAATCCTGCGCAATTGATTTTAAACAATTAACTTTGTAATCCCATCAGTTCTGCACGTCCATGAATTATAAAAAAGAACGGTAAAAACAGGCGAGCAACTGAGCGGATTTTTCCGCCCTTTAACACGCAAGCGACCATATGTGTTGGATAAATTTTGAAGATGCATTAGAAGACACGTGTGCTTGAAGACAAAGGAAACGTCTGCTGGTTCTACCATACCCCCTTTTTTGTGTCCACCCTGATGGGCACTCAGGTAGCAGTTTAACATTGCACAATGGTCACGACATACGACGCAAATATAAGCAAGAGGGGATCGGTGATCCTGTCTTGAAGAAAACATAGGCGTAGAAAGAAGGATGACATCATCCCGTCTGCCATAATTTAAACAAACAAATAATTTAAACATGAGATCAATTAAATAATTAACAAGAGCATTGACGCCGCTGCGTTGAACAGAGAACGGCGAACACTTATCGATTTGCCGAGGTGTTTTCGGCGAAAATTGCGAAGCCTACGCCTCTGTTGCTGAAAGTAAAAGGTGTAAAGTGCGTGCGTGCGCCAATACGGCGTAGTAGAAGTCTGGAAAGGAGCCACGCGAACGAATGTGGAACACAAAGACGCCCTCGAAGCAGGACGACAGCTGCTCAAGGAAACCCCACGTTTAAAAGACATCTGCGACTGGAAAATAAAGAAAACAGGAGGGTTACCGGCACAAAAGTGCTGTGACGTAACGTAAGGAAAAAACGCAGACAATTGGGTTCGTCAAAGAAAGGGAAAGGAAAAGGGTTGGAATTTATTCATCTGCGCGTAAGATCTTTTGAATGTTAAAAATTTTAAAAGAAAAGAAAAATTTGCGAAGGACTGCTGTACTGTGGGACATAATCCACTTCCGCTTTTAGAAAATCTAGATATCAATACTTACTCAGATAATAAAAACTGTTTGTTATCACTTATAAAAATGATGTAAACGGAGTAAATATGTACTTAAATTAAGAAAACACTAACGACTCTGTAAAAAACCGAACATGTATTTTTTTTTCAATATTTGGAAAGTAACTGTCATATTTAAAATTTGAATTTAATTAAACTTATTTCGTGAATGGTTAGTCACTTTGATATTGTGAGCAAAAATCTGTATTCATTCATAATCTGTAACTAACTTTCATCAGATAGGTAGCTTTGAAGAAAGTCGAATTATCTAACTCAGAAGTGGACGTTCACATTTCAGTTCGTTTCATCAACCGCCCTCAGTGTATTACAGCACAATATTGGAGAAGTTTGTAAAGAGAAATGAGATAGACCATTGCCGACATTCCACACGTCACGTCCTAAGCAAGCAGTGCCACGTGACGCCCGTGCTCTTCATTTAATGTTTCTAATAAGAAGTGAAGAACGCGGACACTGAGGGCCGAATGTGTTAACAACTATTCACCTTAAAACTTGAGAATCTGGTCACTTGGTCTTGCAATATTATATCAATTTAGTGTTCATCTCTGACTTCAAAGTGAAACACTACTAGATTTACCAGGTGTAAATAAATCATTCACGATGTTAGCAAGTGGAATATGATGATGACTTCTGGTGTTATTATGATCTACAACGAATGCAGTATAGGAAGGCATAAATAATTATGACCTAAAATAATGGCTGTAATTGCATTGTGTAGCTTTTGTTGATAATATACAGTGTCAAATATAATGAAAGTAGTAGATCTCGAGTATGTTTCGGCACTATAATTAATTATGATTATAACAAGTTAGGGCTTACCAAATTGTGCGCTGTATGTGTGTAGATGTGCTTAAGATGTTGAGTTTTTAGGTTAGGTATATAGTTTATGTGTGATTGTCTGATTGTATGGGTGACAATTGTGGATCTCAACTTAACAAGGTGCAATATTTCGGAAAGTATATTGGCGCGAAAGTTATATGAATTTAAATGAGGATGTTTGTATAGTTACATAGTGTCAAGTATCGTTTAGAAGATACGAAGATCTGAAGATTACATTATCATACTCTTGAGACTTGCAAGATCGTCTTTTTCAAATTGACATAATCCTGCGATACAGTTTCAGGAACATGTACTCATCGTATAGTTTTGGAAATTTCATTCTACACTATAAAATTTTATTGACGATAACGAGA